ACTGTGGCAAGAAAAGGTTGTAAAATGAGGCAAAACTCACTTAACAACTGTTGCACTCAGCAATAGAAATTTTGGGCTCAGTTGTGGTCATAAGTCAAGGACTACCTGTATTACAGTTGGTCTCTTTCCTATTTGGATTTTTAATGTAGTTATGGGGAAACAGTACTTTAAACCTTCCAGTGCTCAGTATCTCAGGCTTCGTGCTTTCTCCCAAGCTATTTAATATCTATATTGAGCCTGATGGATAAGTTGTCAGGAGTACAGGTACAGGGCACACTCAGATTCAGGTGAAATTACATGACACAGGAAATACAAAGCCTCAAACAGGAACAGGAAACAACTTCCAAAGCCCAAGAAGTTATAAAAGCCCACCACTCCCAGCAACATGTGGTCAGCTTTCCCATAGCTATATTTCTGTCTGGCTCTACGGAGGATGCTATTTCTTCCGTTCTCCATCTGAGCTTGAAGCTCTTAGAGGAAAGAAATGTTGTTTGTCGACTTCAGCTTGGCGTTTAACACAATCATTCCCCAGCATCTAGTAGACAAACTGGGCCTTTTAGGCTTAAACACTCCTTTGTGCAACTGATTTTCTTACCAACAGGTCCCAATATGGGCGAGTTGGAACAAATACCTCCAATATCATTTTCTTGAGCACAGGTTCTCCCCAGGGCTGCATCCAAGTCCGCTGCTGTTCACCCTGTGAACAGGCAATTGCCATTTTCTGGTCAAAATCTCACGCCAAAGGCGAGGAACAACTTTTCGCAAGAGAACCACCTAAATCCATTAACTTAATCCAGCCAGCTGTGCTAGCAGATCATCCATTAACTTAATCCAGCCAGCTGTGCTAGCAGATCATCCATCCTTGCCATCCCGCTGCGGGACGGGGAGGGGGAAGGGGCAGGGAAACGTCGCGGGGAGATTCTCCGTCCTCCAATAGAAACCCGAGAGGGGCGGGCTAATACAAGCTGAGTGGCGTAGGACCCCGCAGAGCCGGCAGCCGGGGGCGGAAGTGGGTGGCTGTGGCCGGTTGCCGGTTGCAGACCGGGACCGTTGATTCACGCTTGGGAGTGGATGCGGAAGAGCCCGACGAAAATGCTGCGATTGGTGGCTGGGC